ATGTCCTGGGCCGAGCACTGGGGAGACTGTGATCGTCTGCGCGTGGGCAACCAGGAGGTGGAGTAAACTGCACTACGCGAGCATGGATATTCATGCCGGTAGTAGGTGTAATGTCGGCTGTGACGGTGATACGAGCGCCTTGGGGAATAGGAACTTGAACTCCTATAGTGACGAGAGTACAGAGAAGAAGCTGGAGACCTGGGTGACCTTGATCGCGCTGTATAGTGCGAAGGCGAGCAGGAGTGGTAGGATCGATAGTAACGCCACAATGAGTGGGATCAATGCGGGTATCTTAGATACCACTCCTGAGGGGCAGTGTAATGCCCATGTTGATGGCTTCCTGAATGATAAGAAGCTGAAGGAGAAGGTTCAGGAGAAAGGACCGCTATCTCAGGACTCGGTGTTGGAGTGCGTACGTGCCTAGCCTTTCGCTGTGCTTTCGTAGGTATTGAAGAGGCACGCAAAGGAGGCGGAGCCATGCCCAAAGGGCTAGTCGGTGCAGAGGTAAAATCTCTCAGTTCCGACATCTCCCGATAGCAGGATGGAGTTAACGGTGTCGGTGTTGGTGCCGCCGTTATCGCGGGTGGTGGCAACCGCACTGGCGTCGGTGCCAAGAAGCCCAGCACCGATGAGTGTTGATGCGGTGCCCCGATGACTGTTGATGCAGTGCCATCGGCGCTGAACGCTTTGGTGCAAGAAGTATCGGCGCCGAGGCTGGTCGTCTCGACACAGCATGAGGCTCTTTTGGTGTTGCTGCCGGCGCCGATTCTGGTCACAGCACTGCGCAGACCGTCGGTGCCGGGTCAGTCAGAATGGTGGGGCTTGGAGCCAATGTGCTACGGCCCTTGTCTGTCTTGTCAGATGCATGTTTTGGTGGCAGACCCGAGGTGACTGGTGTATCATCCGCACGGACTCTCCTGGATGGAGCAGAACTCTTCTCTTCATGGGACTTACATGGCCCAGAGATCTTGTTCTCTGGCTGCTCCGTGGTAGGTGGTTGTAACCCTCTATTAAAAAGCAGCATTTTGAGCTGCATCTCTCTATCCTGCCTGGTGCGAGTGGTTAGTTTGGAGCAGTGCGTGCACTTTTGGGGGATATGACCGTCCCCAAGGCACTTGATACAGCGCAAATAGCCATCTGATGCAGGCATGATGTCTCGGCATGTCACGCACTTCTTGAACCCAGGAGAACCAGGCATGATGACGCTGGAAGAGTCTGTCAGGCACAGTCTTTCTTAATAATAATTTTTTTTTAACTGGGAACATTGAACTGTTGAAACCCTAAATACCTATAAACATGAAATTTATTTATTTATTTATTTATTTAAAACGATATAAACTGGAACTATAACTACTGGGAAGGGGCTAACTGGGATGAATAAAACCACTTTATATCTTTTTTAGTCTTTTTGCGTTTCTCCTCAGAGCGAAGGAGGAGCTCGTCCTGATTCCGTCTGCGGCCGTGGACGGTTAGGAGGAACTGGCGGGGCTGGACCGCGCTCCGCGAATGGCGCGAGGCTACATATGTGCATGCGCGGTGCGGCGGGGCTACTGCTAGAGAAAACTTTCTGAGTTGCGGCACCAGGACGAGCCCAACACCTTCAGTGGAGCACCCACAAGGACACTATTTGATGAAGAACCAGGAGATTCCCCTGAGGAACACATGTGAGAGTGTCCCACACAACCATTAAAAGCTATAGAGGAAGACAATGAAAATGAACCTTGTCAGTCTACAGGTGAAGCTGCAGCAGTAAATAAGAACCAACCTATCAGGTCAGCTCAATGGTCCATTTGGCCCAATGTCCTGTCTTCCAACAGTGGCCACCACATATCACAGTATCCATTCCACACATGGATGTAAAAAATTAGAGGGAAAATTGAGCTCAATCCTCACAGCAGTCTCCTAAAAAAAACAGCTCAGATGTGTAATTCCTTCATGCCCTCTACAGTGTAGACAAAAACAAAGAATTCATTTAACTTTTCAGCAATGGCCTTTCCTTCCTTGAGAACTCCTATAACATTTTGTTAGTCCAGAGGGCCCACTGACTGGTTAGCAGACTTTTTGCTTCTGGTATACTTAAAACAATTTTTTGCTGTTAGTTATTGAGTCTTTTGCTAATTGCTCTTCAAATTATTTTGACCTGCTTAACTATACTATTACACTTGACATGCTAGTTTATGCTCTTTTTTTAAATATTTTTTCAGTAGGATTTGACTTCCAATTTTTAAAGTAAGCCTTTTTGCCTCTAATTGATATTTTACTTTGTTGTTTAGCAATGGTGGCATTTTTTTGGTTCTCATGTTTTTTAATTTGGGGGTACACATTTAATTTAAGACTCTGTTATGGTGTTCTAAAAATGTTCCCATGCAGCCTGCAGGCATTTCACCTTTGTGACTGTACTTTTTACTTTTCTTCTTAACTAGTTTTTTCATTTTTGTGTCATTCCCCTTTCTGGAATTAAATGCTACTGTGCTGGGCTTCTTTGGTATTTCATTCCTCTCCCCCCCAAGGAGATGAAATTTAATTACGCTATGGTTTCTTTTCCTGAGTAGTTAAGCTACTTGGACAGGTTCTGTGCTCCACTTAGAACTAAATCAAGAATTGCCTCTCTCCTTGTGGGTTCTAAGACTAGCTGCTCCAAGAAGCATGTCAATGGTTGAGCAAGCAGATTCTGATGGTTTAACAGCTGCACATACAAACAAAAATGTGCTTGATACTATACACAAAGATGGACCTGGCACTAACACAGAAGAAAATAAAGATGATTCTGGCTTTTGCAAGACTGATATTGGCATCAAACAGTACTATGGCACAAAAAGCTGAGCCAGGGTGGAAACAAATAGAGCTGACAGTGCTGAAGTAATCAGTATTGAGGTTTCCTGTACTGAAACACAAGGCAATACTGAAGAACCCCCCCACATTGATCAAAAGCTCTTGTTTTACCATACCATGTACGTTCTTCACTAGGGGAGTGTCAGTTTTAAAGAAGAAGCCTTAGCCTTAGTATGCACTGGACCCTGAGCTAGTAGGAATGCATCTTGAACCAAGAAGTTTATGTTGGAAGGTCTGAATTTAATCTCATGAATCTGTTCATTAGAAACAGATGAAGGCAGGTGTCCCTAGACCTCAATATCCTCTTTGAAGCAGACATACAAATATTTCTAATGACTGTGAAATTCTCTCAAGCAAAAGGACAGGTTTAAGAGAAAGCCGTGTAAGTCTATTTCAGCAAAAAACAGACACCTAAAAGACTAACAAATTTATTAGGGAATAAACTTACATAAGATACAACTTAGGGATGTGAAGGACTAGTCGACTAGCTGACTATCCACTAAGCAAATGCTTATCAGATAGTCGACAGGCTAGTCGACTAGTCACTACCCCACCCTTGCTGCCTTTACCAGAAAGAGGCAGCGGGGGGAAGGAAAAGGGGGGGTGTACTTCAAAGTGGCAGTGCCGTGTGGAGCCTAGGGCCAGACCCTGGGCTCCATGCAGTCGTCAGGCTGCACACGGCATTTCAAAGAGCCTAACACCGGGCTCCCTGCAGTGTTTCAAAGCGGCAGCGCTGCATGGAGCCTGGGGTCAGCGGGGGATTGTATGAGGTAGCTCTACCCAGCTATCCCTAGTGATGGTCTTGCAGAAAGAACTATTCTAAATGCTTGGGAGGTGCTCAGATACAACCTGATAGAAGCTATGTAAAAAGAGATGGTACCTTAATGTCACCCTCTCTCCAGACCTCCTTCCTTCTCTTTTCCTTCATTGAGCTCCAATACTTTGCCTTCCTGGCATTGTGCTCTGCAGTCCCTGTGTTTCTATCCA